CAAAGATATAAGGAAAGGAAAATATGAGAGATGTAAGAGACAAAGCAAGAAGGTCAAGAGGTTATAGTTGATGTCTATGACTTCCTTTTTCCACTACCCATTCCATATTTCCTTTGCTCTCAGCCAGAACCCCAACTGGCTAGGGTTTTTTGCCGGGTAGGATGACCCAGACTTTAATTCCTGAAGGGTCTGAATCCTCAATAATTCTTTTTTTGATTGCTGTAGTTTTCCATTAACATGTTATTGATAATGGAAGTAATAGAAGATGTTTCAGAAAGTCTCCTGGGTTCCAGGCACAGCCCTCCTTGTTGTGTTTCAGTGACTCACTTTTCCCTTGGCAATCAGGATCAATCACTTTAACTAGTAAAACCCTTTTTTGCCTATCGGTTCAGTGGTATGAGAAACCCAAAATGGCTAGACGGCTCTCTCATCGTCCAGTTCAGTGGAACCATTGTTGTATTCCTCTAATGGAAGCATTTCCCCCTTGAGAACTAACCAACAAGCAGAGTCCAAGTTGTAGGTTGGGAAGCAAAAATTATGTGAATGCATTATTAGTATGGTTTTGAGAGGAGCCACTCCAGCTTCTACCCCTAGATTCTTAGACTGTGTATTTTGGTTATGGCAGAGACAGCACCATATAATGGTCTCATTATGGCATCCTGTAAGGTAGAACCCCATCCTTTCAGAGTTTTGTCTCCCAACTCATCTTTAGTAAGCTTTTTTATTAGGTTATCTATTTCTGGGTATGTGGTAAAAGGCCATTTATTCCATGGGTATGAACCCATTGCTTTTCTACCTTTCGTTCCTTGCTTGGGAACAAGGCTGTATGGAATACCATGATAGTGGGTAAGGCATTCCTGGAGATGGTGGTGCTAGCGGAAGCATTAAGGGCAGAAAAGGTACATTCATATCAAGAAGGCATTTGAGCCAGGCTTGGTGCTGCGCACCTGTAGTCTCAGCTACTTGGGAGGCTGAGGTAGGAGGATACCTTGAGCACAGGAGTTCGAGGCTACAGTGAGCAGTGATTGTACTTCAGCCTGGGCAACAGAGTGAGATCCCATCTCTTTAAAAAAATGCATTCATCCTGGAGAGGACAAATCTCTGCCCCCTGCATGGTAGAAGCTATCCAATACAGTCAACCTGCTCCTAGCCCCTAGGTGGCTGGCCAGTCCCAGTGGGGAATGGTGCTGTATCTCGGGCTCAGTGGTGGCTGTGTCTGGTGAGTAGCTGCACTATCACAGGTATAACTACACACCAGGTGCTAGAAGCTGCGTTGATTTGCTCCAGTGAAGATACTCTATCCAGAATAGCACCTATCATCAGAGAGACTACCTCATTAAGTTTACAATAATCCACATTCTCCAAGATTCATCCAACTTCTGCACAGAGTAAGAAGACAAATTAAATGAGGATGTGATAGGTATCACCCTGTGTCTTTCAAGTCTCTGATTGTAGCACTAACTTCTGTTCCTCTATGTTGATAGGGAAAGGTTCCAGGAAGTTTCACTTAGCCCTTCCTGTCATAATGTTGCTTACCTCTGTATCAGAATCAGTGTGGAGATTCCACCAGTGGCCCAGTACGTCTATTCTAATTATACATTCTGGAACTGAGAAAGTAATTATAGGGTGAGTCTGTGAACCAACCAGCTCTGCTATGAGTCTAACTGTGGCTAATATTCCATCTATCACCTGAACATCATAAATCTACAGTTTGCTGAACCACAGTGGTGTTTGGAGTCTCCAGAAATTTGCTGTGGTACTTACCATAATTCTAAGATGGCCCCCAAGATCTCTTCCCCTTGGTGTACACATACCTTCTTCCAGTTATTCAGTCAAACACTGACATAGGTCCTGCTGATGTAATTAGGGTCCCAAATCAGTTGACTAAGAAAGGGAGATTATCCCAGGTGAGTCCAACCTAATCAAGTGATCCCTTAAAAGGGACTGAGCCAAGTTCATATATCCAGCTATAAAAGACAAATGTAAGCATGCTTTCTTAAAGATGCATCATAAACTGTTTACGTTTAGTGAATAAGTGTTTGATGGAGAAACACCTTTATAGTCTAACTTTGAGAATATGTTATAACATGTTTCTTTTTATACTGGTACCTGTAAGGACCAGTTCACATATCCAGCTATAAAAGGCAAAGTCAAGCATGCATTCTCAAAGATGCATCCTAAACTGTTTTTAGTGAAAAAATAAATAAATAAAAGGGACTGAGCTACTCCTAGGGAAAAGATTAAAGCATATAAAGCACTTAACACAAGCAGTTTTCTCCTTTGAAGATAAAGAGGGATTAGAGTAGTCTCTAGGAGCTAAAAGCAGACCCCAGATGACAGCCAGCTAGGAAATGGAGACCTCAGTCTTACAACTAGGAAGAACTAAATTCTGCCATAGCCAAGTGAGTTTGAAAGAGGAACCCAAGCTCCAGATGAGAAAGCAGCCCAGCTGACCCTTAAGGTTATCTTTATCAGAGCTTGACAGAGAACCTAGCAATGTCATGCTTGGACTTCTAACCTAAAAAAATGGGGTTTGTTTAAGCCACCAAGTTTGTGGTAATTTGTTATATGGCAGTACACAGCTAATACAAAAGCCAATGTGTACTAATCCTCGAAAGGTCTGGATATTTCCTTTCCCTCAGTGCACAAGTCTCTAATAAATAGCCACTAGACCCTTTGAGGAGGGATTGGAGGCAGATCTACACATAAGCTTATGGCAGTGCTGCAGGAACCATCCAAAAGGGAGCTTGACTTCTGCTTCAGTCAGAGGTCTCTGGATGTGTGAACTAGCTTAGGTCTAGAAACTGGGTGAGCGGGTGCGGCTCTGTTGCGTTGACTAAAATCCAGTGGTTGGCCATGAGACCTAGAGTTTTGTTTTTTTTTATTATGTCAATCAAACAGTAGTCTAATAGGTTGCCCATTTATTTCATTCCTAAAGATAACCATGATCAGTTAACGATAGCCAAAAATCTCTGTGGGCTAAAATATTCTGATTACTGATTTTTCCTGTTGCCTTTTATGGTAAATGCACCCGGCTTGTTTTGATGGTTAAGTGCCGCCATCTGGCCCTTCTGTTCCAGGATCCTTTCATCTCCGCTGGAATCAGGGAACCCATCTTAATGGATACATCTCTCATGGCCATTCCTGGCTTACAATGAAGAGCAAACATAGAGCTTTTTAAGGATGCATGTGCTCTCCTCACTAATTATTTCTTTGTGCCTTAGTGAAGGGAGTATTTTCTGGGCTTCCTGGGGTGGAGGTGTAGTTGGTGTTAGAGATGGAGAGAAATAAGAGTGTTCTCTAGGAGCTAAAAGCAGGCCCCAGATGGACGAAGCCACATAGATGGGTGAAAGTCATTTGAAAAGAAATGTGATTTCAGTTTTGAATACAATTCTAGGTCATGGGACATACAAGAAAAAATAAATAGGTTATATAAAAGTTAAGAATGTGAAGGTCATGTGAATGATTAAGGATAGAGATGAATTTTATAAGCATGCTATAGAAGTGGTTTCTCTAAGAGAACAATGAATCATGAAGAATCAGTGCCAGACAGGACAAAAATACATACGAAAGGTTAGATGAAGACAAGACAGTATAGCAGTATACAAAGAAAGGAAGGGGAAAAATGTGAGAAAGGATGAGTTGTAAATAATACTTTGTTATTATTGTATAATTATTTATCATTGTTTATTGAGTGCTAGCTATGTACCTTGGCATTTTCTAGCCTTCATTTCACTAATCTTCACAATCACTCTATGAGGAAGTTGGTATTATCTCCATTTCATCTATGAAAGGCTTAGAAGAGTTTAAAAAAAACTTGACTAAAACCATACATCTGGTCAATGAGGCAAAGATTTGAACCCAAATTTGCCTGGTTCCAATGAACTAAATTTTGACCTTGGAAGAAAAGTTACAGAGTATTGTTTTTAAATGTTTCGCAACATAAACACATATATATCCAGATACACCTAGTATTTTTTAACAAATAATTTGCCAGTCTTAATCCCTTCTTACATTACTTGTCTTGGAGAAGTAAAGAGGTCTAGAGGGAAGTAACAGCAGATTAAAAATCTAAAGCTCAAATTCTAATCCTGTTTCTGAGCTAAACTATGTGACTGGAAAAGTTTCTTTTTTTTTTCTTTCTTTTTTTCTTTCCCCACCCGCCCTCTGGAAAAGTTTCTTAATAGCTTTATTTAATAATTGAGATATTCACATACCATAACATTCACCCTTTTAAAGTATGTAATTCAGTGGTTTTTAGTATATTCACAAGGTTTTACAACCATCACCACTGATTGCAGAATATTTTCATCATCCCAGCAAGATACCCCATACCCATTAGCTATCACTCCCTGTTAGTCTTCTCCCAAGCCCATGGCAACCACTAATCTACTTTCTGTCTCTGAATTTCCCTATTCTGGTTATTTCATGTAAATAGATTCATACAGTATGGGGTATTTTGTGTCTGGTTCCTTCCAGGTTAACATAGTGTCTCAAGGTTCATCCATATCATACCATGGACATTTGGATTGTTTCTACTTTTTGGCTGTTATGAATACAAGTTTGTGTATGTATACAAGTTTTTCTGTGAACATGTGTTTTCAGTTCTCTTAGGTCTATACCTAAGAGAGTGGAATCTCATATGGTAACTCTGTTTAATCTTTTGAGAACTGCTATACTATTTTCTAAATTCTAAATCATCTGTACCATTTTATATTCTCACTCTTAGTATCCCCACATTTTATTTCTTCATCTGTAAAAAAGGAAGGGTACACTTGAGGTTTTGCTGGGAGGGAAGTATAGGGTAAAATGAGAGGAGGGTGTTAGACCAAAATATTTTTTCTTATCCAGCTCTAAATATGGCATGTAAATTTTTTTCCTGGAAATTCTAGAGAAGCAAATTGGAATAATTATGTAATAATAAAAATGCAGCAGTCAGTGAGAACTTTTATCAACTTTCTTGTCTTACTGATATGACAATTTTGTTTTATTTCTTATAGAGAAGCTCGCAGAGGCTCAGCGCAGGTTTGCTACACTTCAGAATGAGCTTCAGTCATCACTGGATGCGCAAAAAGAAAGCACTGGTGTTACTACGCTGCGACAACGCAGAAAGCCGGTCTTCCACTTGTCCCATGAGGAGCGTGTCCAACACAGGAACATTAAAGACCTTAAACTGGCCTTCAGCGAGTTCTACCTCAGTCTTATCCTGCTGCAGAACTATCAGGTACTTCGATTTTTACCCCAGAGAATGGCACCTTTAAGTAAATGAGAAATTCCAATAAATCGAATTACCTTAAACTGCTAATGGGTCAATCCAAAAAGGAAAATCTTTAGCGTGTCATTATTCTTGAGGTTCCTATTGGGATTTCAGATGTCCTCATTGGCTAAAAATCTTGTATCATGGTAAAACAGTGTTAACAAGACTTCTGTTTTTGAAGATTAGTTTTCTAAAAACTTTTGTACAATATTCAGGGGTAGCCCTTGACTCAAGGACTAACAGTTTGCTTCCTTATTTTTAGAGCCCTCTCTCATAGGGTGAGTAGAAATAAGAAATAATATATGTCTATCCAACCATTGTTGGCTATGTAAGAGCTTCTGTATTCCTCCTAACCAATAACAAAATTTCCATAAAAGCAATTGGACAGCTAATTTTCCTACAACTGACATTCATAAAACAAAAGATCCTGACTTTTCAACTTGCCACTAAAAGAATCCTTTCCAGGATTCTTTCCAGGATTCAAGAATCCAGGCTGCAATAAATCTGTATTTTAAAAAAAGTTCTTGGGAAAGAAAAGAAATTAGGTCACAGCAAATGTGTATAGAAACTAAAAATCTAGGCTATTTTGATATATCACTCAATATTTAAAACCCAATCCGAAAAAGTTGATCTTCCATGTATGTTAAATTATGGAAATGCAAAGCATTTATTTATTTGTAATTCTTTGTAAGTTTGTTTATGAAATTAAATCTATAAAGAATTTAGTTGAAATCAGATTATTTATAAGATAATAAACATTTAAATAAGGAAAAGCATCTCCCTAATATTTAGAGAGACCTTATACACTATTTTTTTCTGTTTTATTCTTGTGATTATTACTTATAACAAGTACTTAGGATCATTATAGAATGATATATCATATAAAAACTAAAGGTTATACAACAAAAGTATTACCTGGAGTATTAGAATTTTAAAATAAAAAGTAATTAAAGTCCCATATCTGCAATAATCTTAAATTAATGCATGTACTTATTTTCATCTTTCCCTTTTATAATTCTCCTTTCTTCTTTGGTGATATCATATAAAGAAGAACCTAGTTGGAAAATAATTTAGTAGAAAAGGAGTTATATAAGATAGATGATACATTCCTTTGGTTTGCAATTTATCCATAGCTTTATAATTTAATTTTTAAAAGAAACAAAATGTATTTCCTCTTTCCTATAATGCTATAAAAACATTCACATTTCACGGTTCATTAACTATGCTTGTGTGTTACATGAAAATACCCTTGTTAAATTGTATTTTATTAACTTTTCTAGCAGCTTTTATTTTGGGTCGTTATAAAAAGCTCTGTGGGAAAACAAAAATAATTGTTAATTTTACAAGTTCTGCTTTATACTCTATTCTTTGGAGTTGTCTATTATGTAAGAATACATTTGTTTTGAGAATGAGGGAGAAGGGAAAATTGATTAAAAGCTATCTCCAAGTGATGATATATACACCCAAGCAGGGTTTAAGATCATCCATTAAAGAATGGGGGGAAAAATATAAATAAGCAAACAAGCAAGCAAAGCCTATCTTGGAGTGAGTGCTTGATTTTTTACTGATGGGGATGTGTGATCAGCAAATTTGAGAGGCCTCTGGTTTATAGATCTAACCTTGCAAATCCACAGTTTTCTGCTTTTTGTGCATGCTGGGAAAAGAACAACAGAATTTGAGAATATTGAAATTCTCAAACTATATTATAGTATTTTGAGGTATATTGTAGAAATTGGGGAAAAGTGAGGGCTCCTACCCATGATGAATGTAAGTATGATCACTTCTTCCTTTCTACCAGTTCTTTTTCACACTCCTATCCCCGAACTGAGAATGAATGGAAGGAAAATAAAAGTTAAGAGAATTAGATGATTTTCCTCTTATATCTTCCACATAATTATAGCTATCTATATTATAGAAAACAGTTGTACATAGAAAAATGGAAACAAAAATATTTTGAGTTTAGGATTTTCATTAATTTACTTGGAAGAGAAATAATAGGGTTCATAGTTCAGGGTTTCTTTGTGTTACTAATAGCATACTACCTTGAAATGAATAAATTAAATAAAAAAAAAGAGTCTCATCTTTTTAGTAGTGAATGCTTTTATGAAAGCATTGCCATTTTCCTGAGTACTCAGTCTTTGTCCAGTCAGCTCTGTCTTAGTGTTTAGTACTTAGTGTTTATTATTTTTCATCTTCTTTGATTGTGGTAGAAATTATAGTTGATTTTTTCATTTCTTTCTGTAGAATCTGAATTTTACAGGGTTTCGAAAAATCCTTAAAAAGCATGACAAGATCCTGGAAACATCTCGTGGAGCAGATTGGCGAGTAGCTCATGTGGAAGTGGCCCCATTTTATACATGCAAGAAAATCAACCAGCTCATCTCTGAAACTGAGGTATAATAATCCCATTTATTTACAATATATTTCCAATCACATTCATGTTTTATATTTAGGAATATAATTTCTCATTTCTGTTCTCCTTTTGTAAATATTTGCTAGCTTTGATATATGTAGTCTTAACTTACGTTTTTTTTTCTTTTGCTTTATCAGTATACATTCACCAAAAAGTTATCAGAATGTCAAATATAGAAATGATACAGAATTATTTATGCATCACTCAAGTTTAGTATAACCTATGGCAAAATTTAATCCTAGGCTGTAGTGACCAATGAACTTGAAGATGGTGACAGACAAAAGGCTATGAAGCGTTTACGTGTCCCTCCTTTGGGAGCTGCTCAGGTTAGTATTTGCTTCCACTGGTTGGTTTGGTTTTGCCTATTTAATAATCAACACAGTCTGATAGCTGGTTTCATTACCTTAAAAAAATTTCAGCCGAAGTTTGTAAGTAGTTGCTAGTATTATTATTTTAATTTTTAAAAAATTAGATCCCAGTTTTCACTTTGTAATGAATTTTAATATCTTCCTACATTTCTCTTCTCATCCTGTGCTTCCTCTCTTATTTATTCTTATTGACATGCTAACTTCTTGGTCTCATCAAATGATTAAGATGAGATTTTTTTGATAGTATGGGGCTTTCAGATGTGCTGGGGTACCACATGGCTTTATCCAAAATGCAGCAGTTACACTGAAAAAAAGCACTTATTAAGTGATATCTACACAGTAGCTATACCCCAAAAAGCATTTTAAGTAATATCTTCTGTGTCATTAAACAAGTATCAATAAATTTGGAACAATTTAAATCATACAAAGTACATTTTCTGACAGCAATGGAATTGAAATCAATAACAGAAAGAGTTTCTGCAACCTAATAAAAGGCATCTATGAAAAATCTACAGTTAATATCATACTTAATGGTGAAACACTGAATACTTTCTAAGACTAGGAACAAAAAAGGATATTCACTCTTATCACTTATATTCAACATTGTACTGGAGATTATAGCCAGTGCAGTAAGATAAGAAAAATAAATAAAAGGCATTCAGATTAGAAAGGAAGAAGTAAAACTGATGGGGTTTTCTGCCAGTGACATGATGATCTATGTAGACAATCCAGTAAATCTATAGAAGAGCTACTATGTGAGTTTAGCAAGGTTGCAGAATATTAGACCAATACATAAAAATCAATTCTATGTCTATATACCAGCAAGAACAATTGGAAATCAAAAAATTTTAAAACAATGCTATTTTTAATATGAAAATATGAAATGAAAGTATGAGATGTTTAGGAATAATGCTGACAAACGATGTGTAAGAACTTTACATTAAAAACTGTTAAATAAAACATTGCTGAAAGAAATTAAAGACTTAACTGAGAGATATGCCATGTTTATAGGTGTATTGAGTAAGCCCAATATTTTTAAGGTGTCATTTCTTCCTAAGTTCATCTATAGATCTAACATGCTCCAACTCAAAAATCTCAACAAGCTTTTGGTTTTTTTGGTAAAAATTGGTAAGCTAATTTTAAAATTTACATGGAAATGCCAAGGACCTAGAATACCCAAAACAACTTTGGAACAACTAAGTTGAAAGATTGATTCTACCTTATGAAAACTTATTATTAAAGTTACAATAATCAAGAGAATATATTAATGTTAAGGTTGGCAAATAGATCAATGGAACAGAATAGAGTCCAAAAATAGATTTAACATGTATGTGGAAAACAAATTTTTGATACATATACAAAGCACATCAATGGAAAAAGGATAGTGTTTTCAGCAAATGGTGCTGGAACAATTGGATTCCGTATATCTAAAACCCCTTTCATCCATACTTTATACCATATAATTCTAAATGTACCATAGACCTAAATGAAAATGTAAAACTGTGAATTTCTAGAAGAAAATATAGAAAAAAATCCTAGTGACTTTGGGTTATGTAAAGATTTCTGAGAAATGACACCAAAAGCACTTCATCAAAGTTAAAATCTTCTGCTCCTTAGAAGACACTATTAAGACAATAAAAAGAAAAGCAACAGACTAGGAGAAAATATTTTCAAAACATATCTTATAAAGCATTTGTATTCAGAATATATGAAGAAATTTCTTACTCAATAAAAAGAAAATGACCCAATCTAAAAATGGGCAAAAGACCTGAACAATTCATCAAAGATATACAGGTGGCAAATTAACATGTGACAAGATGCTTGGTATCATGAGGCAATAGAGAAATGCAAGTTAAAACCACAATGAGATAATACACACCTGTTAGAATGACTAAAATTTTAAAAAGATTGATCATACTACATGTTGGAAGAACAGGAACTCTCTTATCTCATATGGTGCTGGTGGAATGTAAAATGTATAAATGTAAAATGTGTAATGTATAACCACATTGGAAAACAGGTTGGCAGCTTCTGAAATTAAACGTACACCACTCCAAGGTGTTTACCCAAGGCAAAGGCAAACATATGTCCATGTAATGTCTTGTGCACAAATGTTCATAGCAGCTTTATTCATAATAGCCTAAAACTGGGAACAACCCAGATGTCCATCAGTAGGTGAATGGATAAGCAATTTGTGGTATATCTATGCAATGAAATACTACTCAACAATAAGAACAAATAAACTGTCAATATATACAATAACATGTATGAATCTCAAAATAATTATGCTGAGATAAAGAAAGCAGACCAAAAAAGGAATACATACTGTTTGAATCTATTTACCTAGGACTCTGGAAAATGCAAATTAATATTAATAAATAGTGTCAGAAAGCAGATAAGTGGTTGCCTGCAAATGTGGTGGGGTGGGATGGGCTAAGAGGAAAGGATTAAGGGGCATGGGAAACTCTTGGGAGTCATGGATATGTTCATTGTCTTGATTATGGTAATGGTTTCATAGGTGTTTATATGTCATACCAAAAGTTATTAAATTGTACAATTTAAATATGTACAGTTTATTGTATGTCAATTTAGCCAATAAAGCAGTTTTTAAAAAGCAGGCATATAATAGTCAAACTGCTTGAAAATAAAGATAAGAGGAAAAATCTTAAAAGCATCAAGAGAGAAAAGATACAAATCGTATACTTTTAAATATGTGCAATTTATTGTATGTCAGTTATATTTGAATAAGGCTGTTAAAAATTAATTTTAAAATATTAAGGTGCTTAAGAATGTG